ACGCATACTTTCCGGCAAATCGGCGCATTCCATTTCTCTGGCCAGCTGAAAACTAATGTCTATAACCCGAAGTAATTACGGACATAGTAGTATGATGCATCTAAGTGTGGTTCTGTCCTGTAAACACTGTCAAAATTTTAGGCTGGGATGAGATCGCGTGTCTGTAAATGTAGAAAATGCCCTTATAAAACAAAAAAAAACTCCTCACAAAACCGTATCGAAAAAGCAACGAGCCTGTCTGGCACGCTGTTGTCGCTCCTGGTACTGCTGTATTAGTCGTTCCACATGTTGTTCCATATAAAAGCAAAATAATCGTGGCTTACAGGGTTTAATCACCGATTCATAAGTATTCGCATTCAGCTTTTGCAAGATACTTTCAGGCAACGGTGATGTGCAGCGAAACACGTCATCCGTTTCCGCATTCCTGGATTTGGAAAAAAAAATCACTGGTGATGCGAACCAGGCAGGCCAGTGCGATCATGCGCTTTTGCAGTATTTCACGCTGTAATTAGATCGTTCGGAAACCCAGCAGCTAGAAGTTGTGACATACTGGTCCTCGATGTTCGGAAACTTAATTGTGCAACTGCGCAGCACTTGGACAGGGAAACATTGCGTTAAAATTTCAACTTCCTGGCTCTCGAATTGGCGATTTTCTCGTCAAAACGTTCAAGTGGTTGTATGCGGGGTCCAGAAGTGACTGAAGGTTGATATCACGGTCCTGGGGTGGAAGTCTGTCGGGAAACCCGTTGACAAAATCTTGGCGCCAGAGACTGCGTGGTTGCCAAGTTGAAATCCTGGACAAACACACACACACACACGAACATACACACAGACACGCAAACCATGGATCGTCACAATATGAGTTTTGCATTTGCAAGTATGCAAAAATTCATAATGATTAACATTAAAATAAAAAGGCACTTGAGACTGACGCGTTCCAGTTCAAGCTGCAATAAGATTTAAACACTTATTAGAAAATACAGGCCTATTAGTAGGGAAGATTCGGCAATGCCTAGTAATCTGAGGCTCAAAAATTTAGCTTGCGCTCTTTTAACTTTTTAGTTTTTGGCATTTTTTCCCTGTATTTTTGGGTTTTTTTGGCTAGAACAGTTTGCGCGTATGAAGAAAGAAGTCACAAATTAGCGCACAGACAGAAATGCAAAATGAATTCAAATAAATGATTGAGAATTATATTCACATACTTTCAAGTTCTTAGGTTGTCGTTTACCTATATATACGAACACAAGAAAGACTTTTTGCAGAAATCATGGAAAAAAATAACTCAGGCTGCAACGCACCAGGTTTGCCGGTGCGATCATGTGTTTTTACGCAAATCTTGTAGGTCGCTAACAGCAGGAATAGATTCTGCGCTTTACTTTAACAACTAGCTCATACTGGCTGTGTTTCGGCCCCTTTTCGCATGCAGGGGGAAAGGGCGCCGAGTGGGGTGAAGGTGTTGCATCACAGGACCGCATGGTTCTCCAGCGTGCATGATTACCAATTTTTTGCATGAAGCTCAGTCGTTTTTCCGCAGAATGCTCATTCACTCAAAAAATGCAAATTTGAAGGGAGTCGGAAGAGGATTATGAAATCTGCAAATACACTTGCTTTTGAGTTTGCGATAAAAATGAATGTT